CTCGCCAGTCCGAGCGCCAAAATTCCACCTGCTTGCAAAATTATAAGATTAAACGTATAAGCTTAATAAATCAATTAGGTATTGAGCTTTACCCGGAATATAGAGAGAGAGAGAGAGAGAGAGAGAGAGAGAGAGAGATGCATCCATAGAGTAGGTTAATCAAATGACGTTAAACTAAGCCCTGAAAATGAAAGTGTATTTGTCATTTATGAGCTTGCATCATCACGTGCGATTCTCAAAGCCGTAAAAGCTCCATTCGAAATGACTTTAATCGTTACCGAGACACTAGTATGAGATAACCCGACACTGCTAAAATATTCTTAAAGCGTACGGAGCCTTTCATGTTGATGCGCTCGAAACTTTAAGGGAAATAACGCAGTTATCCGAGCATCGAGATTATCGTATCTCTCTTATGGCATTGTCGCATCCTTCTCTACTACAGCTGGCTGATATATCGCATTCGGGGATGACTCGCGTGTATGACCTGTTGAGGTGCCGGCGATCCAGTCGAAACAACTGATGATAGGCTTCTGTAGGATATTCTCGATCTCGTAGAGCATCTGAATGAGAATGAGGCCCTTGATGCCGCCTCCGTCGAGGCACAAGAGCCTACCGCCGTTTTTGTGTTGACGCGGCTTCGAGGAGAATTTGCCCATGCTCGAGACATAGAGCATCTGATCGAGGATACTCCTGGGATTTAAATTCAATAGTTTGATGGACTCTGTGCCGTTGTAATCCCCGTTGTATTTGCATCCCTTGTGGCAATGGGACACCGTGGCTATGCAGCGCTCGGAGCCGACCGCGTTGAGGATATTTAGAATTTTCTTGCCTTCATTGGTTGCGATGTTCGTTCCATGGCGTAACGATACCAAGTCCGGGTCAGCTATGTCAACATCGGCGTTGAAAGCTATTAGCGCTTGTACGATGTTCACGTTGTTCTGAGCAGAGGATAGAATAAGCGGTAATGTAACAATGGCCCATGGAAATAAGTGGTTAAAATAATATTTGAAGTCTAGCTAATTAATGTCATAGGTTGTTTGAACTTTCTTCGACGCGTAATAATACTTTAGGCACAAATTGCTGATTGAATAATAGATTAAAATTAATTGTTTGGCAATGGTTAAGAACAATATTTAGAAGTTTGAAGCAAATATTATAAAAATGGAAATACATGGCTGGTAATACATTTGTCAAATAGCAAATAACTTTCTAATTATCTCTAATTTTCTCTTATCTGTCATTACATCGATTGAGAGCGTTGACATTTATTGAGAAGTTTACAATACAAATATCACAAAGTTCTTACTTTTTACAATAAAATTTATTTAAAACAATACAATTTATTATTAATAATTAAAGCTGTGAATAATTTGAAAACAAAAACAAAAATATCGGACAATAATATTAATATTTATAATAATAATAATAATAATAATAACGTGCATGCATATTGCCTTAAGAACTTAATTCTCATTGATTGGTTAATCAATGTAAATAAAATAGTGAAATGTCGATTAGATCGTTTGAATAATATTCTACTCAATAATTAAATTCTCAACACTAATTGCCAATGATTTACTATGCTTCCATTTTCAATTTTATACAAAAATTTTAAATAAAGTTCATTTATAAAATTCATACTATTATTCATATAATTATTTATATAATTCATAATATATAATTCATTACTATTTTTAACTATTGTGTATTAAATTATTAAATAATTATAATGAACTACTTTAGATATTTAATGATATTAAAATTATTGCATACTTTATGAATGTCTAATTCACAATTTGTGCAATATCACAAGAGCTTATCAATCAGCTTTAAATACAATTTCAGTACTTTATTTCAAATATTATAGACAATGGTCTGTTATATGTTAATTATATTATATTATAATGGCTACACATTACTTTAAGTATTGCAGAGCGTAATACAGAATATCCCTCTGCATTCAATGTATTAACATTTGCATTGTAAGTTAGTAGAATCAGTACATTCTCAAATAAATTTTGATGCACCATATTGTGAAGAGCTGTTTCTTGGTTCAAATTGACAGCATTAATGGAGCAACTTTTCTTTATTATTAGCTTCAATATTTCAGTATTAAAAGAATAATGTAGTGGAGTACCGCCATTTCTTATTAAATTACATTTCTCCTCGTATACTATTTCATCTAAATTTGAGCATGCAGAATCGATAGCTAAATGGAATTTCGAAAATACATGGTGTTATAAAAAATTATTTTAAATTCTCTAATTTTTATTCAATAAATTACCGCTTGTTGTAGCAATATTGGCATCTGCACCCAGACTTATTAATGTTGTTACATTTTCCAACATATCATTACAGCAAGCAATATGTAAGGCCGTAAGGCCAGATTTATTTTGGTTATTTAATAAAGCAGGATTTATTTCATGAAGATAGCAAAGAATATTTTTTGTCGAAGTAGCCGCATAATGATAAACTGTGTTTAAATATAAATCAACGTGATCTAATTTGCAGTTTGCCAAGACCATTGCTTTTACTATATCAAAATCTTTTGTTTGTATAGCAACTTGTAAAGGAGATATTCCAGTAACTGAATCAGCAACATTCAAATATGGTGCTATCTCTTGATCATTCACGATATCCAACAATGAAAAATGTGCTGCAATGTGTGCTACATTCCAATTTGGATTCGATCGTAATATATCACACATCATTTGTATTTCCATTATACTCGTCATCTAATAATACACATATACTTAATTTAACATAATACATTATAGAAATTCATTATTAATTTTAGGAAAATTGAACCAAATTAATTTTAAACATGTACCTTTCCACATATATTGACAATAATTGGAATCGTATGTTTATATACATTAAACCAATTTTCGCTATCAAGCGCATTATTGGCGCGATGCAAACTATAAAAGTTAAAGGTAATTACTGTTGAAAGACAAACAATTGTCAACATTATATATGTCATAAAAATCAAATATTTATAATCAATTATTATCTACAAAATTAAAAGTTAATATGTTAGATAAAGTTAAAATCAAATTCAACGTATTAGCAATTTTGCATTGGTAATATTATAAACATTGTAAAAGATCAAATTCATTATTAATCAGTAATTCTAAGAATAGTAACATGAGATACTACATTAATGACTCATAGATATAATTGGATGCCACACTATAGGCAAAGTTTGTTATAAATTATTTCTCTAGTATTTACATTATTGCCAATTAACGATGACGTCTAAATCAATAAGAAATTCTATTTATAAAATAGAAATATTAAAATGATGTAAATGAAAATTATATAGATATCTTATTTAAAGTTACAAAATCCTTTGGAGTTTTTTTAATAAATATTTACCTACAGCATACGTCTGAATATTGTCCGACAGGTCGATGTAATACAATTTCATATGTCTCCTGTGCGTATAAAGGAGAATATAAAGCAATTCCATCTTCTCTGCAAATGACCTGTCTCATCGAATATTTACTGGCATTATATTCTATTACCAGATATTCGGTTGTTTCGGAGGTAAAAATATTACGAAGCATAATTGAGAACACATTGCCAAACCATGACATTTTCTAGTAAATAATCTACAAGCTATAATAAGATAATAAAGTTATTATAATTTCTAAATAACGATTGTAGAAAACAATTGCACTTAAGAACAAAAGAATAACAACAACAATAAATGCGTTTTTCGATATTAATTAATGACCTCTAATTGAAGTAATTGTAATTTATATTATTAGTAAAGAAAAGAAAATTTATATCATTGGAAAGAACAGTGAAATGTTTCGTCGACTGTTGGTCAATCAGCGCCTCTGGCGGATAAATTCCTGGCGAAAATGAACATTTTTAGCTAAATAAATAAATGAAAGGGCTTTATAGGAAATGCAAAAATGCGTTTGTGTTTAATAAATTAAGCTTTTAAAGAATAAAAATTAAAAGCAATAGAATAAGTGACATAGTAGTTGAAAATTTTAACAATTTGTTAAATATTCTTCATTTTCATTTAAATTGGTCACCTAACTTGGACGAGCTAAAAGTAAATAAATTGCCATTGTAAAAACATTGCGAATGATAAAATATGGTTTTGTTTAGTAGCGCTCCATGTGAATTAATAATACAAGAATAGAAAAATCTTTAGCGAGTAAATAAATATTAATTAGATATTTTCAATTAATTTTAATGAATACTATCATCGTGTGCGACAATTAAACAATTATAAAACGTTCTTAGACAGATATTTTTGTGTGTGTGTGTGTGTGTGAGAGAGAGAGAGAGAGAGAAAGAGGTACGCGCGGATGCGGCTAGGTGTGTCGATTAGTAAGTTATTAGTTACAAGAAGGAGATGTCATTGGACCGGAAGCCGCGGCAGGTGTGTTGGAGAGGAGGGGGAGAAATACCTTTTTGATTTTGCTGAATGTAATAGTCTTTTGTGTAAATTCAATGGAGCCGGTAGAGCTGCTGCTTTCCAAAATAAACGTAGAGAATTATCTATCACCTTGTACGGATGTCTTTGGCTAATGAAATTTTGCGCCTCTTGTGCTTTGTCAGAAATGATGTTTTTCAAAAGCGTTGGCAAATACGAGTTTAGCGAGTATTCTTTTTTCTTTTTTTTTTTTTTTTTTGAACCTTTTATCCTTCGTTGTGGTTTTTCGTTATTCGTAAAACACTAGTACCCAATGAAAATTGATTTACGTTGGTGTTTATCTGCGTCTATTTTCAAATCTCATTATTTACGATATTATTGGGGAAAAAAAAAAAAAAAAAAAAAAAAAAATATCTGTAAAAAAAGTAATTATAACGTTTATTTTTAACGCAGCGCGTTACAAAGCTGTTTTCAATGTTTATCAAAATAAACTTTAATTGATAAATATAATATACGTAAATCGAGTATGAGAATGTCGTTGAATATTTCATAGTTTAATGGAATATATTTTTTAACGAAGCTCAAGGAGTTTCGAGTCACGTTGGAGGAAAATTTTTACCGTCACAGTTTTTTTCAAACCTTATTTATTTATTTAGAAGAGCATGAAAATAGATGCAAAATAAGCCTCGTAATATGTAATAATTGCAATAAACATCTTTATAATTACTTATAAATCAATCTGTCTCTCTACCTCTCCCCTCCCCTCTCCCATCGCCCCGCTCTCTCTCTCTCTCTCTCTCTCTCGTTAGAGCTCTTGTTTTTATTCAAATAAAGTTCTTTTTATATATGAAAGATTCACTTTGCAATTGCTATCTAATCAAATGGACAAACGCGTTTGGTCACATTTCTTATTCAACAAAATTCTTGCTAATTCTTTTTGCGATAGAGCGGCAGTGTTTTTACGATGTCTCTTTAAATTATCGAAAATCGGCTATTATCACGACTTTATCTGCGATTTATTGTACTTTTGCAATAATATTAACTATGCAGATGGAATATAATAATATTCGCGAGTAATAATAAATCGTTGGATGATTAAGCGCGTTAATCGCGATTAATGATCAGCCAGTTTTGTTTAATAGTCAATTAGTACGATTCCTCGCCCATTAAAGAGAAAGTATGCCGTCGTCACCTGCATTTATTTGTTTATTTATTTATTTATTTATTTATTTATTTATAAATCAGCCGTGTCAAGCGATGGAACATCGCACTACCGCCTTATATCAGTAATCCTGCTTTTTCTGCGACAGATAGCAACTAATGCCATCACCGCGGGGGTGTCGGGGTAGGGGTGGGGCGGGGAGGATCCGAGAGAGATAGATAGAGATAAAGAGGGGGAAGAAAAAGTGACATCGGTATCAATATCCCTTCATTCACAGTCTTTTTTATAACTGCTCGGCTCTGCCATTCGCCGTAATGGATTCCCAAGCACGATAAAAGATATAAAGTCTTGGCCGATGAAGCGATGTTGACGGGAATAACTCGGCTCTTCGAATATGGCGCTTAGGGGGCTAACAGACCCTTGGCAACAACGCGGGTGCGCTAGTGTTCCACGGTGACTTGAGTGCCCCGTCGCTACGACGACGTCAGCCGCTCGTTTAGTGCAGACTTGACTTGACGTCTCCGTCGTCGGCCGAGCTACGGACGTAGTTCCGGAACGTGTTGCATTAAGGCCTGGTGTTCTGCGGTGGTGTTTTGCGCGCCATTGCCAATTGATTGCGTTCGATCCAGCCATCGTAGCCAGCGGCAGTCGTGCTCGTCGGGGGCGAGGAAGATGAGGAGGCGTCGGGATCGCGCGTGCCAAGATTATTGAAAGGTGCTAGCTCGTTTCCGTTGCCTCGGTATCGCGCCGAGCGACGATGCAGTGCCGCACAAGCGAGAAAGCTCCCTATCTCCTCTCCGATCCTGAGGAGAGACTCGCGATTACCGTCGCCCGGATTCCAACCCACTGACGCTCTTTCCGCTGGTTAGATTCGTTGGCGCGAATTCGTTCGTCTCGAGGCTCCTCGGCCTTTCTTCGTTTTAGGTTGAGCGAGCGGGAGGACTGGGGCTGGCGGGGCCGAGGATGAGCCTCCTTCAGGCTCGCCCCAGCTTGCGAGTGCTGTAGGAAGAGCAGTGGCGTCGGCACTGGTCCGAGTTGGTGATTTGCGGTATAAGTGGCGGTATCGGGGATGTCAGGGGGCGAGAGGAAGAAGCGGTCCGGGGACCGTGGCCACGGTTGGGAGGAAGCTGGTGCAGAGTTTTACCAGGAGAGCTATCCGGCAGCTGCCATCGAGGCTGATCTGCAGCAAGCGTTGCAGAGAGATCCTTCGCATATAGCTACTTTGTTGCCTAGTAAAAAGTCACGCGTTGGTAAGTTTTGGAGTTGGAGACTCGGATAGAGTTAAAATTGTGTTTAGCTCGTGCAATGTCTAGCTGGATAAACTTGTCGCTTAACTTGGTTGGGCTTAGGGGCAGTTTTGTAGCTTAATGAATGAAATGAATAACAAATTTGGCAGATAAGGGCTTAGACGATATTGAAGTTGCATGGAATAGAGTCGGCTGATAGATTAGAAAGAATCGATAGGGCTTAAATATACTTTTTTTAATTCATTTACTTATACGATATTTGGATTATAAAAGTTTTATGTGAATTTTGATATTTCACGAGTGCAACAATGTTGCCGTGAAAGAGCGATATTATAATATGCCTTTGTTATTTAGCCACAACTACTAAACGAGTGAGGCACGAACCACGCACTACTTTGAGAAGACGTACGAGCACTCGTTCCAGATATGCAACAAACACCGTGAGGCGAATGTCGACGAATATTCAAGACGCTGCTGTGTCCATGCTACCGGATCTCTCTGAAAATCTATCCAACGAAGAGCGCACGTGGGAGGAAATTATGCAAATCAAGGCAATGCCCGTTTGTATGGCTCAAAAAATTCAACTAAAAAATCAGTTACAGGTACCGGCTCTTCTAACTTAAAATTTATAGAAGTAGTAATAGTAAATGTCCCTTACTTAAGGGACAATGTTTTGCAATATGGGCCACGATAAACAGAAATGAAAAACTTGCGTTGATTCATGCACAAAGATACTAATATACATGGTGTATTTTAGAGTGCGACGAAGCTGCGACTGCAGGGCTTCGATCAGCTCAAGTGGCAACGCAGAAAAGCATGGCAGACGTTCCGTGTAAGGGCGAAAGAAGCCTACTCGAAGCTAGAGCTCTGGAGTACGAGTCTGAAAAGAATTGGTGGCAACTTGGGCATGGGCATAGTGGCCTACTTTCTATTCATCAAATGGATCCTCTTCTTAAATCTGGGCCTATTCGTCATCGTATTAGTCTTCCTAATCCTGCCCACGATACTCTTGGATGTTCCAAGAAACGAGACATGCATTTCCATCAACGACACTAACACTATATGCTGTCCGGAATTGTATTGGAACAAATCTCAAGATTTCCAGACTTTCATGAATTTCTTTCAAGGCAACAATCTCTTTGAGTACAGTCTTTTATTTTACGGGGCTTATTCTTCTTCCACCTATATAAATAGAGAGGGTAACTTTCGTTACAATCTCCCATTGGCTTACGTTTCCGTTATGTCGACGATTTTCATAGCGAGTTTCGTAGCAATAATCAGATCGGCAGTTAAAGGATTTCGCGAGAGAGTCGTGGAAGGCGAGGGACAGTTTTATCGTTACTGCAATCTTGTGTTTGGTGGATGGGACTACTGCGTCAATAATGAAAAGGCTTCGGAAATGAAGCACAAGGCGCTGTACACGGAAATAAAGGTAGCCCACAGTATTTTATCATGCGATATTGCTATTTTAATTATTATAACGTCATTGATGAGACGATAGAAGAAATTTTCTATTTTATTTCTTGGTATTTTCAAGAGCTTAGCAAAAGATATCTGGTAGACAAGCAGTTTTGTATTAAATATGGTTTTACGGTAAAAGTGAAGCTCAAATTTCAGGAGCAATTGGCAGATGAGCAAAATTTGCATCGCCTCCACAAATTACAAATTAAAGTAAATTAAAGTAAATTAAAGTAAATAATATCAAATCAAAGGAAAAATTTCGTTCGTTAATGTCATGCTGAAACATATATCCATTGGAAAATTTGCGACACATGAGAAAAAGAGAATAAAGAGAGAAAAGCATTGAAAATACGTAGCTGCTTAATAACCATTTAATATTGACAATAATAATTGAATTTTAAATAACATTATCATTATTAACTAGTTGTTTTCTTAATGTGAAGGTTTCGCTGGAGTCCGAGAGATTTGAGGAGGAACGTCAGAATCGCACGAGGGAGGAGAAATTCAAGCTGTGTATGATACGCATCTTCGTCAATGTCCTCGTGCTCCTTATATTGTGCTCTTGTGGGATCTTCATCTTTTATATCATTCGCTTCTCCTTCGATCGGGCCTACTCAGAAGGCAAAGCCATGGATCAACCGAGCTCGAACGACATGACAATCGATACGATTGACCAGATATTCTTCGAGTTTCTGCCTTACATCAGTATAGTTTTATTAAATATCATTGTGCCTGTTTTGTTTCGCCATTTGATTAGCCTTGAGAACTACAGTCCTCCCTTCGTCATTAGGCTTAATTTGTTTCGTACTATATTCTTGAGGCTAGCGTCACTAGCAGTCTTACTCAGCAGTTTCTATATTAGAATTGTTAAGGATGTCGACGAGGACGAGTGCACCAGCTCCCTGCGTCCTTTATGTTGGGAAACCTTTGTGGGCCAGCAATTTCTGAAGCTTTACCTTACCGATCTCATTGGCCATTTCTTTATGACATTCTTTATTAATTTCCCAAGATCTTTCATAGGCAAGCATTCGGAGAGTAAATTTTTAAGATACGTAGGCCAGCAGGAATTTGATTTGTCGAAGCACGTCTTGGATATTGTTTATTTACAGACAATCTGCTGGTTAGGTACGTTTTTCGTGCCCTTCCTACCTTTGTTCGCCATAATAGGCTCCTTCGTACTGTTTTATATTAAGAAATTCGCTTGCCTTGTAAACTGTAAGCCCTCTAATAATATTTATCGAGCGAGCAGAGCTCATTCGTTATTTATGCTCATATTATTGGTCTGTTATGTACTTATTTCCATTCCAATTGGCTATTCTATCGTGAAGGTAAGTCCATCAAAGGCCTGCGGACCTTTAAAAGGTCTCGATACGTCCTGGAGTCTCATAGTGGCTACATTCTCTCAGCTGCCCATTTGGCTACGCTCTGTTTTGTCTTTTCTCAGCACAGCGGGATTTGGTGTTCCAGCCTTTTTGGCGCTTACTCTATTGCTTTATTATTATTACGCTGTGTCAATGGCCAATAAGAATATGGTAGCAGTTTTAAAAAATCAATTGGTATTGGAGGGTCACGATAAACAATTTTTATTAAATAGACTGAGTGCTTTTATCAAGCAGCAACAAGAGCAGACCAAATACCATCAGGATCACAATGACTTTACATAAATTTCTGTTCTCTCTTATTCTTTCTCTCTTTCTTTCTTTTTTTTCTTTTCTCTCTCTCTCTCTCTCTCTCTCTCTCTCTCTCTCTCTCTCTCTCTCTCTCTTTCTTTCTTCAAATTATGTATATATATATAAGCAGAATGCATTCACTCTGTCTACTGTTTGATAGTTAAATGACATACTTAGATTTTTTAAGCTAGTCATTTTTAAAAAAATTATAATTTAAGTTAGGTACGGGGAAAAATCTTTGAAAAAGACTTTAAAATTAAGTTAGGATTGTATTAATTATTTAAATATTAGGCTTAAACTGTTTTATAAGACTTTATAATATTTAATTAATGATTTGACTATTATAAATTCATAATTATACGATATTAATCTCATTGTTTTATAAAGCATTTAAATTTAATTAGGAATTTAATATTAATACCTTTGTTTTGAAAGTATTTTTCGACGAGAGAATGAAAGCAAATTTAGAGTTTTATACAGTTTACAAAAAAGTAAAGGAAAGGAAAAAAAAAACGAAAAAATAAACAAAAGACAATGAAAAAAGGAAAGAAGAGGGAAAAATGACAATGGAAAGGGGTATTTCTCTTCTTTTTTTTTTTTGCTCGTTTTTCTCTCTCTATCATGTGCATTTATTTTCTTAAGGGTTGAAATATTTATTTTATGATGTGATTTCCATTATAAACAAAGTTCAAATATTACCATATCTTATTTTTGCTTCTCTTTTCTTTTAAAATAAAAATCAACATTGTTATAAACTAGGGATGAATTTTGAAAAGCATTTTTTAGTAAATGTATAATAGAAACTTGGAATATTTATACATGTATATAAAAAATGTTTATATTTAAAAGAATGTGTAGACATTTATATATTTATTTCAACAACATTTGAAATTTGGAATAATTTTTCCAAGCAAATCAGTATTCATTATGTTTTAGTAAAAATAATATATATAAAATAAGACTGTAATAATACATTGTGACACTTTAATCTTTATGCGTTTTGGAATCTTTTATATTACTTAAGATATGCAGCACATTTGTACACTGCTAATATTACTATTAAGTTTCCTGTTCGTAACTCAACGATTGATTTACCTGCCAGTGCTATAATTAATGTTATTTTTATGCAGTTTACAAGTGATTATATAATTGTTGGAAAGTATTTACCGAGATCAAGGGTATTTTGGGGGTAATTTTATGGATATAATTGAATCGAAATAGTGTTTGTATTTCGTTAGCATTGTTGTCGAAACCGTAGCCTATAAATTGAGCTTATTTATCATTTAGTATAAAAAGAAATTTCGAATTTATGTATTTTTGTTATAGCACTGCGTAAAATCAATAAATTATTTGCATGACAGTATTTGTTATATTCGCTGTCCAATTAATTCAGTCATAAATTTATAAAAGGATTGCCAATAGCATGCTGATATCGGTGTAAATGTTTCTTTGTGCTTTATAGTGTAAATATAGAAATTGTAAAGGTAAGTGATATGTAGAGAGGAAAGAAAATCGGTCTAATATTAATAGTTGAGCTTACAAGTGGATTTGTAAAACAAGCAAAATATGCACAAGTACCAATTATTTGAATTCGATCTATACATATTATCTTTGGTATATACGATTCATTGTCCGATAATGCTGTGAGTAGTCATAATTTGTAGGCCGTTTAAGTGATAATATATATATGCTGGTGACATTTTTCAATATGTCAAAGGGACTGGCGCAAATACATTAATTTGTCACATTATTAGCATATACTTATAAACAATTTACATAAAGATATATGTCTTGGCATAATGAAAATTGTATACTCGATTTTCTTTTATTTTTAAACAATTTTTAATATACGTTTAATTGCAATTTATAAAAATATATTTGAAAATATTATGTACAATTCATAAAAATTTTATAATTATAATTAACAGGTAAGAAATAAAAAATTATTATCTATAAACGAGAGTCTATATTTATTTATCCGTTAACTCGATGTAGTTTCATTTTCAGTCGAATGTAACTGCAATAAAATAATGTCTACGTAATTACACGAAATAAAATATGGGATAATTATTTTTACTATAAAAATATACATACCGCTTCTGCAATATCTACCCAATCGAGTGCAGATATAAGGGCGTCGTTCTTCGATGGTATCTTGTCATAATTCCAATATGTAAATTCTGTAAATGTACCTGTTGCATAAATGTTACGCTCCGTCTCATCGGTTTCTGGCTTCTTATATTCAAAGAACGTTACTCCCATATATCCTTTAGGTACGGAAATCTTTTTTCCTTGAAGTGGATAACCCCTGAACGATGATTTGAAATCTGAAAATAAATCAATTTCTTGATTAAATGTTAAGAATTTTTATTACCAAAATGCTACTTTAACCTAAAAACAAAAAATGCTTAATAATTAACATCGCAAACTGTATGAATGATGAATAATATAATAACGAATAATAGGAACAAATTTTTATTTCAAAAGTATCTCAAATAATTTGTAAAACTTACTCTCATCATCGATATTCTTGATATAAGATTTAAAATACGTGTTAACATTGGCATTATCGTCGGCATAAATTTTACACGGCATCGAGTGAAGTACAGGATTTTTCGTTTCCGACAAGTTTTCTTT